ATTCATTTATAAAAGACGGTTCCAAATCATTGAGATATTCTTTTTGTAGTCTAGCAGCGTACATATAAACATCAGCAACTGACAAAGTAGTCAGTTTAAAAAAGAATTTATAGTTTTCGAGAAGGTGGTCATACGATTCTTTCCTCTTTTCTAGTTCATTAATTAATTTATCCAACATTACAAAGTAGGTATCACTTTTGAATATTTCTGCCGGAATATGTCCATATTTTCAGACAGTAACTAGAGTAAAGAATATAACTTAAATTTAAAAATGATAACACACTGTTGCAGTTGGAGGGAACAATGTTCTCTTAATGATATAGGACGTACTAACGGTATATATTTAAGTTATGGTAAATATTTATCATTATCACCAAATACTAATCACTTAACATTCAAATAAAATTATTGGCTTACACTTTATTAAGAAGATGAGGATTTTAAGTGATAGCAATCGTTAATCGAGTTTAATGATAGATAAGAATACAAGTTAATATTTTTAATCTGTATTTATTTATGCTAAATGATGATTAGAATCTAAAGACGAAATTATTAATTACAATAAAAACAAAAAAAAAAAAAATGAAAGAAAAACGAAATATAAAACTTGTCAGTTAAAATTAAAATACTCTTGGACAAATTACACATTGGCACTTTTTCCAGGAGTCCACGACCGCCCCCTTAAATCTGCCGCCCGGTGCAATCGCACCCATTGCACCCCCCTAAATGCGGCCCTGCGTTTTGGTCTATTCTGACAACACCAATCGATTTGTTGGCGTTTTTTTTTATAAGAATCGGTATCTAACTCGTTTTCACCAATTTTGGCAATAGTACGTTTTGGATTTCCACCCCTCAATCAAGGTAAGTTATTAAAATATAGACATAGTACCCATACTTATTCTAATTGGTATTCGTCGATAACAAACAGTTTCCTAAGAAAACAACAAGGGTCGCGATATCCGTATTACTGCTACGGGGACAATATTATTATGTTTATTTATAGATAAAGTGATATTCGTAACAAGCCCGCATAAGCCCACCATGCGTGGGGCCCCGCACAAGCGCGGGGCCCGGTGAGGTCGCACCACTTGCCCCCCCCCCCCCCTAGGGCCGGCACTGCTGGGAAGCCTCGCTTGACGTCTATAGTCGCGTCCAAGTCAAATAATACGTGTCCATGTTGTGCGGGTACGCACGCATTAACATCGTGTTCGCGGTTCAAAAATTGGGGTCTCGACGAGCGCGCTCGATGGACGCGCGATAAAAAATTATGCTTTAATTGTGACAGTGACGAGCACTGAGTTCCCAAGTGTAATGTTAAATCGAGTTGTCAGAACTGCACGCGTAAACACCACTCGCTTCTTCATCAAAATATATCGTCCAGTAGAGATCGCGATGATCGAAACGAGCCACCGGCTGCCGAGGCGTCGTTATGCGCGTCCGTGCCGCGTCCCCCTCCACACCAGGCCTCGTCTATAATTTTAGGTACCGCGCTAGTGCATATGCGCGATCGTTCCGGGTCGTGGCAAACAATGCGCGCACTGATAGATTGTGCGTCGCAGATAAGCGCCGTTACGAGTGCGTGTGCCGATCGGTTAAGCGCGCCCGTTGGACAGCCCCCATAAGCGGTTTATCCGGAGTTCCCGTAGTAAATGTCCAAGGTCGCGTTGAGTGTAACGTACAGCCGCGGTTTGCGTCCGAACCTGTGCTTTCCATAAATGCGTGGGTGTTGCCCGCCATAACGAGTGACTTGCCTCGAACAACGCTACACTCGAGCATTAAAGAGAGGTATTCTAATCTCGCGCTCGCCGACCCGTCATTCGATATCACTTCACCTATTGACGTATTATTAGGCGGCGATGTATACGCGTCAATAATGGACGGTCGAAAATTTTCGGTGGACAAAGCTTTACCTACGGCGTTTAGTTCCGTCTTTGGTTGGATTTTAATTGGCCCAGTGTCCGACCGAGAGGCTCACCCGTATCAATCGGTGCCGGTCGCTATGACTGTTTCCATTGAAGGGTTAATGGAACGGTTTTGGCAGGTTGAGGAGCCAGAGGCTGCGCCCGCGACGTTCACGGACGAGGGGCGTTGTGAAAGATTATTTTGTGAACAGTCTATACGCTTGCCGTGCGGCTGTTTTTCGGTACCGTTGCCCTTTCGTGCGCCGCCGTCAGCTGATACTTTCGTCGGGTCCCGCGAACTCGCGGTGCGACGTTTTGACGCACTCGAACGTAAATAATTGGCTACAAGCCCTCAATTACAATCATTATATGTCCCGCAGCAAACGAATTGCCCGGGACGCAATTAGTATGTCACAAATCGCAATTTTTATATCGGGGACGCAATTCGTATGCAGCCATATGTCCAATTCATGCCGGAATACATTTCGCTAGGTCATATGTCCGTCGCGACGTCCCCGGGACGTTATTTTATTCCGCACCACGCGGTGTATCGTCCGGCGATCGATGAAAATAAAATACGCGTTGTATTCGACGCTTCCGCGCAAAGTAGTCGCGGACCGTCATTGAATAATTGTTTGTTTACCGGTCCTAAATTACAACAGGACATAGTCGACATTTTGACTAGATTTCGGGTCCCCAAGTACGTGTTTACGACCGACATTTGCAAAATGAATAGACAAATATTAATTTTACCGGAATATCGTCAATTCCAACATATCTTTTGGCGACCGTCGCCACACGACGAACTTGTAGAATATGAATTAAATACCGTTACGTACGGCGTTAATTGCGCGCCTTATCTCGCTCTACGCGTGTTACAAACTATCGCATCCGATGATTGCGATAATTTCGAGTTAGTGCGTGACGCGTTGACGCGTCAAACCTATGTCGACGACATTTGCGACGGGGCAGATACAATTTCGAACGTATTAAAATTGCAGTCCGATTTAATCTCTGTTATGAACAAGGCGGGATTAGAACTGAAAAAGTGGGCGTCAAATACGCCACGCGTTTTAGACACGGTATCAGCCGCAGATCGCGTGTGTGCGCCTATGCCGTTCGAATCGGTCGACGGCTACGGTACTAAGGTGCTCGGCTTACAATGGCATCCCGAGGGGGACTTTTTTTGTTGCGCCTTAAGTCTTGATTCAGCACCCGCATGCACTAAACGTGGCATTCTTTCTTTAGTGGCGAGTATATTCGACCCGCTAGGTGTGTTCGCTCCCGCGGTATTTTTAGCTAAGTCCATAATGCAGCGTACCTGGCATCTCGGCATGACTAGGGATGATCCTTTACCAAACAATATTCACGACGAATGGATCGCGTTCGTCTCCGACCTACCGTCGTTATTAAATATTCGGGTTCCGCGTTATTTGAACTCGAGTCACGCGGCGCGCCGTGCTATTTAATTGGATTTTGTGACGCCTCGAAACTCGGCTACGCGGCGGTCGTGTATGTGCGTATGGCTGACGTCGATGTTAAGAGGATGTCAGCGCGCTATTTGTTTTCTCTCTCTGGCCCACGCGTAGCATAGACAAAACGCATGAACGTAGAATCATTTTTTCTATGTTTTAAGTAATCTTAGGGTAAAATCACCTATTACAAAAAAGATAGAGAATAATATTTTTGAGGGAATGTCATATCGATTTTATATTTTATTGTTATTTGACTTTGTATTCGACTTTCAAAATAAACAAAAAAAGTTGTGCATTAAAATTATGTTTAAATTGTTTTGAGACAATATTTAGACAAATCGATATGACATTCCCTCAAAAATATTATTCTCTAGGTATCTTTTTTATAATGGGTGATTTTACTCTAAGATTACTTAAAAACATAGAAAAAATGTTTCTGCGTAAATGTGTTTTATCTATGTTGCGCGTGGGTCAGAGAGAGAAAACAAATAGTGCGCTGACATCCTCTTAACGCGTCCGTATTTTTAATTGGTACGAAAACTAAATTAGCGCCCATAAAATCATTAACCATCCCCCGATTAGAATTAAACGCCGCGTTGTTATTGGCTCGTTTTTAAGTAATCTTAAATAAAAGGTGAGTAAAATCACCCATTACAAAAAAGATAGAGAATAATATTTTCGAGGGAATGACAGATCGATTTGTCTAAATATTGCCTCAAAACAATTTAAACATAATTTAAATTTACAAAATGTTTTTGTTTATTTTGAAAGTCGAATACAAAGTCAAATAACAATAAAATATAAAATCGATATGTCATTCCCACAAAAATATTATTCTCTATCTTTTTTGCAACGGATGATTTTACTCAGAGATTACAATATAAAAACATAGAAAAATTATTCTGCGTTAATGCGTTTTGACTATGTTTGGAGTGGGCGTGGGCCAGAGACAGAAAACAAAATATAGTGTGCTGACATCCTCTTAAGAGACTATTAAATGTGAAAATAAATAGGTATTAGGTAGCACATTTTGGCTTTTTATATATTTATTATCAATAGCCGATAGGCAATTGAAGTAGGTATTAAACAATATGTAAACAGTTTAGTCATATTATAGAAAGTTAAAAATACTTATTGTACCTATATTATTAGTTATTGTGTTCAAAGGATACACATCCAGACTTCCTTAATATAAAAATAAATTAAAATGAATGTACTCACAGCAATTTCTATATTTCATAATTATATTTTAATCAAATCACTATGAATAATTATAACATATAATACAAATTAGATAAGTCTGTAAAATTTAGAAATAATAAAAATAATAATACTATAAACAAACTGTTGTTCTAATAACGAATGTACCATTAAATTACCATTAGTTCAGCCTTCAGTCACTGAGAAGAATATACTGCTTGTGGTTGTCCTTGTTCGAGTTTCAATTGCGTATTTATGTTGAACCGATCATTAAGACTACTAGTCTATTGTTTGAAAAAAACTATTATTGTTGAAAAATTAGAATAAAAGGACGAGTAGAGTCAAATGAAAATTAGTTGAGTTGTGTTGAGTTAACAGACATAAGTTCAAAATTCTTTATAATTCTTAACAAAAATCAAGAAAAATGGCTGCTACATTCACTATGGTAAGTTAAATTTTCTTGTACATATTCAAATTTATATTTTATTAGGTATTTCAGTCGTATTGTATATTATTACATATCTGCAAGAATTGGATTTCTTAAATTTTTTAATTCAAGTAATTAAAAATATAATATATTTCACGTGTTCTTGTGGTTGTACCTATATATAAATATATCATCTTTGTTTTCAATAAATATGAATAATAGTATTTCACAATTCAAAATAATTTAGTACCTAGATGAAGAACTATAAGTAATAATAGCCTAACCATATTATACAACCCCTACCCTCCTGGTTGCGCCACTATTATTACTTGTCTTTGTTTACAAAAAAATGTACAACCATATTATGCTCTTATAACTTGTCTCAAAATTAAAACATCAGAAAACAACGTATGAAATGTCCATGATAATATTATGTTACCCTTAAATTTGAATAATTGTATAATAGATCTATTCACTCCAATTCAAAATGTTGGATTGAACAAAAATTAATTCAGTTCAACTGTCAAATATATTGATAAATTAAAAAGTGAAGAAATAATAGCTTAAAGATGATGTCAGTGCACTCTTTACCTACGCTCGACATAAATAAAATGCATTTACCTACGCTAAATAATTTTGTATTCATATTTTAAGTAATCTCCAATTTTAATAACTATAAAGAACAATATTTTTGAGGGTAGACATATCGATTGGTCTAATAATATTGTCTCAAAACAATTTAAACATAATTTATATTTACAAAAACGTTATTTATATTGAAAGTCGAATTAGCATTCGAATAATAATAATATAATACATTTAATATATAAATAATAATAAAATAAAAGACTGATGTGTCATAGGTACCTTCAAAAATATTACTCTCTATAATTTTTGTAATTTATGGTTATATTACTCTAGTCTCTAAGATTAATCAAAAATCATAAACAATTTTAGGTGAAAGCGTTTTGCTATCGTGATTCGTTAGCATGGGTCTAAGAAAGAAAACAAATATTGAACTGACATCCTCTTAATAATGTGGTCAACAATAATATTATTATGTTTAATAAAAATAATTCTAATAAGTTACCTATGTATAAATAATAACTATTAGATACCTACTTATTAGTTATAAGTACATGTTTCCGCTTATATATTTTTTTAAAAATCGAATTATTTAAATGAACAATAACTACTATCTAAAAGGGTATTAAATAATATATGGTTTTTATTCTATATATTCCAGATCTTGATGTGCTTGGCAGTGTTGAATGTCGCATTCGCAATGCCCGCTGCACAGCCAGCCGGAGTGGCGACAAATGAGGACATGAAAACTGCAGAAACTTCGTATTTGCCGTTTTCGTTGGGTTTCGGTGGTTATCAACGGTACTCGCCTTACGGATACGGATACAGAAGTGGTTTAGGTACCTAATGAAGTACTTTAAATAATAAAAATAATAAAAACTCAAAAACTCAAAAAGAACATGCACACACAATACATATTAACATATAGCCATATAGGTAAATGGACATTATATTTTTAATAATAAATACTGTTTGATTTGCAGGTGTTTCAATCGGTTACCCAACTCCGTATTCCCACTCATTTGGTTATTCGAACGACTACCCGCAATACCTGTCTCAATTCAAATAATAAGATACAGCGATGGCTTACAATTATTATTACTTACACGATATCCAAACATAATCTCGAATTCAAACTTATTTCTTATAATATATATAATGATTAAAAATAAATACAAATATCCGGTTTAAATTGTTTTGTCTAATGTGTTTGTTGTTGAAAAATACAAATTGTGTATTAAAAGTGTTGATAAAAATACAATACAGGTTTAATTAGGTACAGATTTTAAGTTTGTGTTTTTATAGTTTGGATTTAATTTGATTTTAAATAGTCATAAATCATAATGCTTTATTCTTTCTCATGGACTAATTTAAAAACAATTCGTTGTTTTTACCAATTTACATTTAACAGTTGATTGTAAATCACTGATGGCTGACAGTACACTACTATTGTTAACTTGAAAGTTGAAACAATTAAAACAAATAAAAACAATTATATTTAGTACGTTATTAATTTATCTTTAGTCAGAATAAGGTACAATATTATTCAATTATTACTAAGTACCATACCGTCCATACCTACTGATCTGCTACTTATACCATATTTATTTACAGGAAATTTACAGAACATTTTGAAAATTAGCAATATATTAGTACTACTGGTACTGAGGTCTGAGGCTCAACCTCAGAGGTACATCACATTTTCTAATATTCTAAAAACAATCTATGATACAACCAGGCTACCAGGGATTAAAGAGGGAAAAAATTCCAGAGGGGACTAATGTCTCTATATAATCTTAAGCGTTCCATACATAATTTCATGTATAATGTCTAATGTATAAAATCCTAATTTGTTAATGGTGACGTTTTTTAACCGCCGTCCGCTGTAGGGGGACTGGGTCCCCAATCACTTTAACCCCTGGCTACAATCAAGGTCTATACGATAAGCTTCCTTCGGACGATCATGGACTATAGTACCTACCTATGATATGGGCATAGGGCACAAATTGAATCTAGCCGTTCACCTTATTTCTGAAGCAGAGTGACAGTTTAATGTGATTACATTGAGATCTAGACGTAATTTTATTGAAGCTTTTTTTATATATGTATAAGCTTTTAAATTACCATATAAGCAGGGGCGTCATTTGGGGGGGTCAGGGTGTGCGGTAGCACCCCTTAATTTTTAAATACTTCCAATTGGCCTGCGCCCTGCTGAAGCCTTGGCCTGCGCCCCGCTGAAGCCTAAATATAATGCACGAGCCACGAATGCACAATTATTAATATGATTAAAATTAAATCGTATTTTAATTTTTAAATTTTATATTGACATTTTATCAATATTGGTATACTGTCAATCATGATTACAACTTTAAATTACAAATATAAACAAATATCGCTTTTGTAGAAACTTTAAAAATTATTTCATTGGCAAAAACTTTACCAATTACAACGGCATCAAATGAAAGGTTTTTTTCATCACTTAAAAGAGTTAAGTCATATTTACGCACTACCATGGGTGATGAAAGACTTAATGATCTGATGGTACTTAATGTTGAAAAAGAAGAAGTTAACAATATAAATTTAGAAGAAGCTGTAGATATATTTGCTAAACTAAAAAATCGACGATATCCGCTTATTTAAATAAAAATTTGTTTTTTCTAGCGCTTTGCTTTTTCCAAAATTATAATAATTATGAAAATAAATGACAATTTATTAATATAGATATTAAGTCCTTTTTTTTTATTTGCTGCTGCATTAATTCTTCTTCTAGCTTATTATGCATAAATTATTATTGGTTTTCACTGTTAAGGTAATTAATTATTTATTATATTTTAGTATCTTAATTGATATTTACTATTTATTTTGATGCAATGATTCCGAATTTATTCGGTCCATAATGTATAGAAATAATTGAAAACAGGATAATGCACGTTTGTATATCTATTTTTATATGGCCTGGTGAAATTTCAAAATGGCCTGCTTGAAACCTCGCACACCCGAAAAAAAACCTGAAATGACGCCCCTGCATATAAGTAAAAAATGTATTACAAATTATCTCATTTTAATGTAAAACAGTTTAACACTTCGTAGGTTCTACAGTCTACAAAATATTGTACATTAAATGTCTTTTAGTATAAATTAATTACCTACATTTCACATTATGTATCTATGCCTATATCATACATGTTTAATATCATATTAACTGTAGTGTTGCCCCATATGGGCATACATTATTTGAATAATATATAAATATTTTATACTTTATGTTCAGTATAGTGAAACTTAAAAGTTCAAAAGTTCATTCAAAAAAAATTCTAGGGCGAAGAAAATAGTTTGCAAATCCAAAATGCATTGTAATTAATCAAATTTTTAATTTACATTTCTTTCTGCCATGCCACAGATAATCTTAGTTTGAGCGATTTAAAAATAATTTAATTCTAACATTGTATCTACCTCAGTACCTCCTATATGTTATGTGTTATATATAGTATATATATATTAATATAATGCAAGTATTGTTTTCTGTCTTACTAATAACTCCGCTTGTACACATAGTAGAAAGAAAATAGATTTATCATTGGACATTTGGAAAGGAATTATCAAGCAAAACTATTGCACAAAAAATGTTTTACACTTTGTTCCTAGTAGTTGAGATACAAAAATAGAAATACAGAATTGGCCCATCTGTCCAGTTTCCAGTAAAATAAAACAAAACAAAAAAAATATTCTCAGTCAAATTCTGGTAATATGAAATATAAAAAGGTGGGTAAGTGGATGTCGCTCTGCTGTACAGTAGGTTACAAGTGGGTCACTGTATAATTGATGCTATTAAATTTGAATTCAATGATACAATATCATTGTATAAGAAAAACGATTCTGAGCGAAGACGGTATGTCAGTCTAGGTTAAGACAAATTATATAGATATCTATGGTATTAAAAAAAATTGACCTATAATAAATTCCAAATTAATCATATCACATTATCACAATATCCATTAGGTACCTATAACACGTTATACACCAACAACAAACCCTGATACTATCATATATATATAATAGTACACCTTAGAAGTTTCAAGTAGGTACCCACGAATAATATTATATAATCACAACAAAATAACTAGGTTTTTTAATATGTAATTTCGTCCAAATTTGAACATAAAATGACTATAAAATAAACTGTGATTGTATATTTTTTAGATTTTTCGGTAAGAGAATTAACTACTTACGTGGAATCTTGTTTTAAATTTTCAATCCTTAGCTATTAAAACTGAACATTTTATAATTTATTAATTACGATGATTAATAATTTTCGAGATTTTGAAAAATTCTGTCAAAATTCGATGTTAAAATGCTTATAAAAAAAAATTGTGCCTATGTATTTTTAATATTTTTCAACTGATATTGTAACAATATATCAGGAGCCTTGTATTAAATTTTTACACTTTTCGGCCCAACAGATAAAACTTAATTGATATTTATAGAAAAAAAAAACTAAAAAATTTGAAAACTGAAAATGTCCGTAAACGGCTCAAAAAGAGTCAAAATATTTTCGAAATTGTATGGTGTATAGGAAATGCTAATATAAACATTCAGTGAAATTTTCATGTATCTACAGTAATTCGTTTTTTAATTACAACAAAAAAAGGAAATTGCCACATGAGAAATCGAGTGAATATCCAATGTTGTAAAAATTTGAATTTCAAACGCTCATAAAAATTTAATTTGACTTTCCGGTAGAGATTTTTTTATTGATAAAGGTAGACAATCTTATGAGTAATCTTGTATTAGATTTTCAAATCTTAGATTTAAAAAGAAAAATTTTTACGAATTCTTAACTCAAAATAATTTGCTAATTTTCGTGATTATTCCATATTTTGTCAATTTTTGAATTTTAAATGCTTATAAAAAAAATTGTGACTAAGGATTTTTAATATTTTTCATCTGCCTTTGAAACAATATATTAGGAGTCTTCTATTAAATTTTCAAGCTTTCGCAACCAACAAATAAAATTTTATTGATATTTCTAGAAAAAAAACTAAAAAAAAACTAAAAATGAAAATGTCCCTAAACTGTTTAAAATAAATCAAAATATTTTGAAAATGTTATCGTGTATAGAAGATGCAAATATAAACAACCAGTGAAAAGTTCAAGGGTCTACGGTCATTTGTTTTAAAGTTACACCAAAAACCAAATTCAATTTTCTGAAAAATCGATTTTGCGTAAAAATTCCCGTTTTTCCTTAATTTTTCTTTTGTTTTTCCCGGCGCTCTTGAAAACTACTGGGAAATTTAAATTTTGACCTCCCCAATGCACCAACGATATTCACTTTCCAATCGAACAAGATACTGAAGTCGAAAATCGAAGCATTATTTCGACTACTTATCGTGTACACAGACACAAAAAAAATAAATAAAAAAATAAAAATAAATAAAAAAAATAAATAAAAAAAAAAATAAAAAAAAAACACACATCATTGTAAAATCAATACATTCATCGTTTCACTCAGAATCTAAAATCAGTAACATAACCAATCTATATGATAAAATAACATTAAGAAATCAGGGCTTGACCAATTTTGGGTCTGGTAACCGCTTCCCGGTTTGTAAGTTTAAATTTTGAGAAACGGTTATAACAATTACCGGTAACCACCAACTTCAATTAATGTTGAACGTGTAGCGGTAAACAAAAAGGGAAATATCAAAAAAAATATAACGTTATACTTAATTTTTATATTTTGTTTTTTGGAAATTGTATTCTATTTTTTTGTTTAATAATTTTATTTACAAGATAATAAATGTAATGTAGGTAATAATAAGTACGATTAAATATGGTATAGTGTCTGTAGTCCTAATAATAAGTAATAATCACCAATCGTAGATACTAAGTATGATTAATTGATTCATAGACATACTATAGAACAAATTAGATGATTATTATTTATGTTATTTTATTGTTATTGACGCCGTTGAGTAACACTTTTCCATGAACTATTTTTTAATCGATGGTTATGGGTAATTTACTAATTTAATTTAAATTTATATTTATCCATAGCTTCAAATGATAAAATATAGCCATATAGGTATTTATTTTTTAATTTAGCTTGTCCCTGAATTGTTTTATAAAGTGAATATTTGTTTTGTATAAATTAAAGTAAAACTAAAATTTTCGGAAAAAAAACCGTTTCCGAAGAAGTTACCGGTAATCTTGAAGAATTAAAACCACTTCCAAACCGATAACCAGTAACCACATTTTTAGAGATCATTTTGGTAACTGTTAATCAATTACCACTAAAGGCGGGTTTCCACTATACACGTTTGCCGTGTACACGAAAAATGTTCAGCTATGTCCAACAACACGGTATCGTGGTTAATCGTGTGGTAACTTAACATAACCAACCAATCACAGCAAATGATTTGTATGCACGTGAACGCGTACGTGTATAGTGGAAACCCTCCTTAATTCTAAAAACAGTAAAAACCTCTAAAACCGGTAACCACTTACGAAAAAAATTTTCGGTCCTACTGGAACCGGTAACCAAATGTTTCATAAGCGGTTTCGTGCCCTGGTTTTTCTCATATAAAACATTCATATGAATAAAAGGAAAAGCACAAACCAAAAAATAAATAAATGTGCATCTGAGCTAATTAATATACAGAATGATTCATTAATCAAATCACTCTGTATAAATCCAATATAGAGCATGTTGATTTTAGAATTAAAAAGGTTTTTCTGGTAACATTTTTTACTAATGCACGATACTATTTTATATTGTTATGTACGTTACATAATATATTATGATATACCAATAACAACTATACTCTGTTTAAGTCAAGTAACATATTTAGCGGCAACCAGTTTTTGTTGGTAGCAATCAGGCAACACTCGTTTTTTACCCCTACCAAGACAACTATTTATATGCCTGCTGAGTAGTAATCTCATGCCCCTGAGCATAATTCAACATCTGACTGTGTTTCTTAACTCAAATAGAGTATAATAACATTAATAACTAATAAGTAATACGTTTGATACACTGCTGTAGAGTTGTTTTAAAAATTATTACATCGAAGACTTTTTTTGTTTTATAGTTTTATAAATTCAAATGAAATATTATCTTAATAGACATCAATATAAAACTTTGGAAAATTGATACATTATATATTAATATTATTAATAAACTATGTTTCCTACATACAAACAAAAATGTTAAATGTATAAATTAAACATTTATCTTGGAACTGAATATGGCTGTTCTTCTTCAGATTCATGGTATTTGATGTAGCTTTTTTTGTGAGAAAAATCTTTTTTGTCCTCTTGCCATCCTCTTTTGGGTGCGTTGACATAATTGAATCGTTTCTTGGTTAGACCATACAGATTATCAATTTCTTCTAAATCGTCCCTAAAAAATAGTAATTTAAAATATAAAATACATATTCCATAATTTCATTATTTTTCAGGACATTTAAAATTCAAATTTTAAACATTTTACAATTTAGATAATATATTTAACATTTTTTTGATACCTATTTGTTTTAATATATTCTGGGATAGCAACTAATAAGTACAATATAAGAGTTTTATTAATAATTTATTATAAATGAGTATTTATTCTATTATTTAGAAAATAGCAACTATTTATTACGACATCTCTAAAAATAAACCCATTATAAATCATCTAATTTTTACTACCAGTAATGAGCATAGTGAGTAGAAGAATGTAATAAGTACTTATAAATATTCACATAGCTATTTAATTTTTTTAACTTTAAATTTTGTATTCATTTCAGCGCTGTAAGCTTATGTTAATTTACCTTATAAAATAATACAAAAATGTGAACACATTACACTTGGTAATGTCAGATATCATATAAGACTATTATAATTGAAACAGAATTAAGAAGCATCTAACATGAGATATTCTAATTACACAAGGATAGGAATTCATTTATATAAGAAGTATATGACCACTGTTTTGACAAACCTGTAAGCAACTGTTCCACTTCGAAGAGTTGCTACTTTTTTATTAGATATAGGATCTGTAACATCACCTAAAGGATACACCACTTTGAGTACTTGATGTGTAATGTGAGTTGTTAGTTTTTCTGATAATTCTTGGATGAGCACGACATCACCTGTCTTACACTGCTGTTCTGGATCATGAGCATAATAAACTTCATCTTTGTGAAAATACTATAAAAAATTCAATACAAATATTATTTATGTATAGTAGATAAAAAATTACTATACGACACTCACCATTAATAAGTTCTGGTCTAATTCTAATTTCTTAACAACAATTTTTGATGCATTCTGTTTGACTGACGGAGCACACCGACCCAAAAGTAGTAAAGATTTAGTAGCTCCAACTAAACTCATATCTGCGATTATTGTTATAAATTCAACTATAAATTGATAATATTAAAACGGAAATGTAATAAGAAAACTCAAATCTCAATTCGAATTATGACTTATGAGTTTATGACTACAAAACAAGCATGAAAATAATAATTACAAAAAAAAAATATACCCAATCCGCAATCGTCCTATCTCTCAACTCAAAAAAATATTATTATAGATAAAAACTTACTATCAATAATAAGAACCACGGCTGTAGCTGATAGTACCGAATACTGATAACATAACTAAGATAATAAGAATATTGTGAAATTTAAAAATAGTGAAAAACAAAACTTACTTTTCATAGTAATTAGTGACTTCCAAAAAAAAAAAACCTGTGGAGTGTACTTGAGCTATAGCAAGACTTATATATATCAGTTTATTATGAGTTATGACTTAGTATAATTACTGTATTGGGGACTAATTGGCGACACAAGGTTTGTAGCACGGACTAAAATATAATATCTTAGTCTGTGGTTTGTAGTATAGGACATAAAAAACATTGAAACCTTCATTATCTAGTATATGACTAACAATAATTATGCTTATGAATACAAACTAACCTATTTAGATAAATAAACCATTAGGAAATCCAAGATTTGAGGCACAAGCATCTGTCTGTGTTTGTACTCTCAAATGAAAAATACATACTAATAAAGTTATTATACATTTTAGTTTTATAAGTAAATCAGTATCACTGATTTTTTTATAAACAATTACAGTTTTATACAATTTATCAATTTATAAAAGACTGAACTATAGAAAGTATAGAATATTCTTAATATTATATTTATAATGTAAAATTATATTATATTCTAATATAATACTTTGTTTTTTGTTGATAGAGATTGCTTATTCAAGGTGCTACAGCAGTCCTAAAAAATCCAATTACCTATGTACACAACAAAAACTATGTTCTCAGTATGTATAAAGACTCGCTGCTTTTTGAAGAATTGCACAACTTTTAAAAGTAAAGTTCAGATTATTAGCGAAAATAAAACATACTCTACGGTACAATATGTACAAGGACAATCACCAGAGAAGAAAATAAGAGAATATTTCTATTATATAGATCACCAAGGAATGGTTGGTAGATAAATTTGTGTTAATAGGTTAAATGAAAAATGTAAAAAAATGTTTAATACACAATATTTGTTTTCATACAAAATTGTTAAACTTTAAAAACAAAAGGTTATTTATTTCCAGAAAAATGTCTGCCTCATAATGAAACTTTTTAGACACAAGTTTCAACATTCCTTGTAATATTTTAGAATCTGAAACTAATGTATTAAACAAAACTAATCAATTAATTCTTATATTATAGCACAACAATTTCTAAACACTTGTTATTTGTATGGTTGTTCACATAATAATATAACCATTGGAAGAAATGCATTGATTATATATTTATATTTATTAAAATATCAGCTACCTTTAAATGTCTTATTAGTTATTAAACATTTAAAACTTACATTTTTTTGAATGCATAATTTAAATTTAATATAGTAAACAAATATCAAAATAATATATGTAATTTTTAGCTTTTTTTGGATGATAGCAAAATGAAAAATTTCACATCAGCTTATAAAGGTAAACATTTTGTTGTTGGTTTAAAAATGTTTTATATTAAAAATGAAAATTTAAATTGCCTTTTTTCAATTTTTAATTTCAAGATATTTTGTTTTAAGATTTTTCAATACATTTTTTTTTTCAGAAATAGATTTTTTGGTTTTTTTTTTCAAACGGTTAAAATTAAACACAACTGATCGATATAAAGAACACTTCCCATGGATATCATTATGTGGTAGAGAACGGAATTTTGTTAGATGTGATGACCATCCAATTGTGTTCAATCAGGTAATCAAAGGTAATGATGGCAATCTGTTATTTTGTCATAACCATGCTGGTCCAAAGTTGACAGTTTTATTTCAACCCGATAAGCTTTGGATGGATGTTGAAAATGGTAGAGTGTACCATCCAGCCTCTGAGCAACACGGCTCAATAGGACTTGTATCATCTAGAACTGCTATAGAATTTAGTAAAATGTTTATATACAATGATACGAACAATTATGTGCCTACACATTTTTTGTGGAATGATAAAAAGTATATTCTAGACCCTGATTGGTTCAAGGACTTGATCCGCAATTGAGCAAAATTCGAGTTTTTATGTGAATAGTGTTAATCTAAAATAAAATATTTGTTAAAAACCAAAATGTTATGATTATATTGAAGTTGATCTGAGCATTTTATTATTTATTATTTGATTAAAATAGTTCTTTGCTGCACTTACTATTGGTTTAAGAGAAACTGTATGTACCCCGTGAAGGTTGGATTACAGTAAAAAGGATATTATGTTCATATTACCCTAATAGTATTGTATACAATTTTTATTATATTAGGCTCAATATTTTACAAATAACAGAAAAACATTGATTTTTGAGTTTGGGATTTTTCAATTGTAATTTTTAATACTTTTATTGAGTTTGAATCTGCTTATATAAGACTAATGGAATAATCAAATCTTTTTCAGAATATTTTCAATTTTGTATTACAGATTTGTGTTATTATATATTAAATAAAATATTGTTACAGCAACTCTTATGATAAGGAAAACAAATAATAATTATCGAAAATATCTACACTTCTGCTGAAAGTTGAAGTTTGATTTCATTTAAATTATTTTTTAATTTTTCAAATTCTTCCCTTATGTCTGCACTTTCCATTAAATCTTTTTCTTTCTGAAAAGTATAAAAAATTTAAAACAAAATAAAAATATACATACAAAAATGATTTAACTCACTTCAATTTGTGAGACCACTGACACTAGCATTATCTTCGCAGATGATAGAAACCGTTTTTTTTGGTCATGATTTTCTGTTTTGTTACTACAGCTAATGTATGCTGCAAAATCAAAAACATATAAATAACAATATTGAATATAATTTATTTAAAATAAAATGTATATTCAGTAACATACCTTCAGCTAGCTCTAATGATAATCTTGAGACAAACAAACAAGAATTTTTTTCTTGTGTCCACTTGTTGCCTTGTGTAGTGAAACGATGGGCGCATTGTAAATGGTGTAAAACTTTATCGGCCGTTTCCTTAGTCGGTTTTGGTACAGCTTCTTCAAGATGTGCATACAATTTCCAAATTTCACCATCATTTTGTACCTAAATATAATTGTAATTAATAAAAATACAGTGTAATAAGAAATTAAAATATAATCTAACGCACTTGTGATGTAAGTCTTCCAAAAAGTTGTAGTAAACATTTCCTATGCTCTGATGCTGGCCTATCGTTTTCATCTTTAACATTATTCCGTACGGCTTGCACTAGAATTCTTAAAACCTCCAAATCTATGTGCTTACTTTTTAAATCTAATAATCTGTGATAGCATTTGATTGCCTTTGGTAATAAGAATTATATATGTTACAGTATGTGTATTATAATTATTATTTTAGTAGTAGAAATTAAAAGTGATACCTCTTCAAAACAACCGCAATCAACACTGACTACCATCAAATTATCCCAAACCATCCAACTTTCATAATTACATTTCACAGCTTCTTTTAGTGCATAATAAGCTCTTGATTTCTGACCATTTTTAATGTAACATTTTGCTAAATTGTTCCAAGCTTCAAAACACTTAATTTAAAAACAAAAATATATTACTCAACTACCAATAAGTTTTTGATTAAAATGTATACAATTTATTACTTAAATACTTTGTGTATTACTACAACCAAAAACCTTAGCAAAATAGCTCGAATTGCTGGTTTCCCCAAATGTAGTAAAATATAATATAACCACTTACAAGCATAGAAAAATATTTAGCTTTAAATATTCTGCTAGTGCAAATGTGGTAAAATATGTGTTGACATATTATGTCATATACAGTGAGACAGAAAGAACTGACAAATAAAAAAAATAGTTATCACATCCCTATGAGAAAAATTAAAGGGGCAATAAATAATTTAAGAAATATACTATCGTCAAGAAATTCCCAAAAGAATATTTTGAAAAAATAATTGTTTTAAATTAATTTAATTCTAAAATACATAGATATTTTAAAAAAATTTTAAAAATTAAACTACTTGACAACTAAATATTTTTATTATTAAAATGTGTCTAAAAATAAGATTTACAAATTGGCTATTTTGAATTTTTCCAAAAACATTTTTATAACATTTTAGGACATTACAAAATAAACAATCAAATATTAGTCTTTAGTTTGTTTGAAAGTTTAGAACTAACTATTTCATTACTCACGTCATTCTCAATGTCGCAGTACCTTCTATAAGCTTCTGCAGCTTCTGACCATCTTTCTTCAACCATACATGCGAAACCAAGTCTAAACCACAAGGTTTCTTGTAAAGAATTTATCTTGAGAGAATTTTTGAAGTGATCTATACTCTCTTTATACTATATGTAAATATAAAAAATAAAATTCTGTTTTAGATTTGAATAATTTTTTTCACAATTAAACATTTTAAATAAAAATACATCTTACTTCTTTTCTTGTATAATAGTAAAATGCCAAGTGTTTTTGTGCTCGACTACTTCTATAATCTGAAATTTTCCATGCTTCCTCGTAGAGAGATATATCATCAGTAGCATCTCCAAGTAGACATAATATTAAAATATGTTTAGCTACAGTAAGGTTTGATGATTTTAACTCGTTTTTAAGAATTTCTGCAGCCTGTTATAAATTATATTGATCAATATCAAAATTCAAAATTATTATAATTAGTTTTACTTTATGTCTATGGCCTTGGGTATTATAACAAGCAACACATTCCTCCCACATGTCAAGAGCTAAAAACCAATCTAATGCACTTTGGATTGCACCAATTGACAGCATTATATTCCCCAAGTATGCTTTAAGTTGCCAAGAAGGTGAAACAAATGAACAATGAAATAGATATAATCTATCAACATTAAGTGGACTTGTCACTTCCAAACTGCTAACTAAACACTAAAAAAAAAAACTAAAGTAATGTACAATGTTAACCAGGGCTTAAATCGAAAAAAAATAATACCGTTTACCGTTATATGGATATCAAACGTTATGACAAAATTACTGTTTAACGTTATATGATATTAAACGTTATGATCAATTTAGCGTTTAAGGTTATATGATATTAAACGTTATGATCGATTTACCGTTTAACGTTATATGATATTAAACGTTATGATCGATTTATCGTTTAACGTTATAAAGAATTTAAACGTTTATAAAATGTTCCGTTTAACGTTTAAACGTTTTAAATATTAATTATTTTTAACGTTTAAACTTGATGAAACACTAGTCTTGACTCTTGAAAAATTGGGGAAGGTTATATAATTCTAGTTATAACTTATAAATTATAACTTACTCATTACTTTTTTTTGTTACTAGTTACTTCAAATTTATATTTTATAATTTACGTATAATGAAATATATATAAATATTAAATTGCAAGATAGGTACACGATGACACAACACATCATAAATTCATAAGTGATATATTATAATAACTAATAAGTATTTGTGATTATAAATTAAAATTCATAAGTCATAATATATACCTAACTATAAAAGTACCAAAGAAAGAATTTTAATAAGATAAAAATAACTTCTTAAATCTTAAGTGGAGTCACACGGTTGACTATGACTCCCATAGAATTCAGTTTGATTCATAACAAAATGCAAAACTTAAATTGTGTGGTTCTAGTGTTCTACACTTTCTTGTTCGATTGTGTCATCTAAATTCCAATTTCCAACTAGGTCCCACTTCAGGACCGCACATGTCTCCTCTTTGAGAAGGGGAGAGAAATATTTATGGCTATTTTAAACTTTATGACTGTACATTTAATTAATTTTGATGAGTACCTAATATTAAAGTCACTTTATTATTATAGTCCTATCAAGCAACAGTTCTACAAAACTAACTAAATTCTAATTATATTCTATAGATAGTTTTCAATATTTTCGTAATTTCCTTTGTTGTCTGACATGTTTGTTATGATTCAACTTTTAATCGTTAGCCGTTTTTTGTTGCGTTATTCGATATTAATTTTAATCGTTTATCGTTACTGTTCCGTTATCCGTTATCCATTTAAATCGTTTATCGTTACTGTTCCGTTATCCGTTATCCATTTCAATCGTTTATCGTTTACCGATATGTTATCCGTTATTCGTTTCAATCGTTTGTCGTTTACCGATATGTTATCCGTTATCGATTTCAATCGTTTTTTGAATCGTTTAACGTTATACTCGTAACGTTATGAAAACGTTTTTAAGCCCTGATGTTAACTACAATTGTTTTAAGTACATTTACCTCAATTTGCTGCATTGCTCGTTCCACTGATCTCCTACTATCCCTTTCTAGCAAAGATCGTTGGAGCAAAGTTGAAACGTGAATACTCCACACAGATTGTTGCGACACCAAACACTAGAGTATTAAAAAAATATTTTACTGTTGTTTTAAGAAATAAATCATAGAAAACTTACTCTTATATATGGCTGCAATTCTTCGAATTGTAGATCATCTTTGGGCCGACACTTTTGTTCCATTACACTTTAAGAAATAAGTCTTCGATTAAAAATTTTAGATAATAATAATACATAAGATTAAATTTAATATTTACAGTGTATTTAAGATGGCTGCTTGTTGAAGGCTGTTCAATTTTGGAAATTTACCAGCGCTTTCATTAGAAAACTTGATATCTGGTAAACGATTTTCATCATCAAGCACACAATCCTATATGAAATAAAAATATTTAAACACAATTAAAATTAACTTTGTAATTATATTCTTATACCAGATGGCAGATACTTACTTTAGGTAAATCACAACATTCATGTGAGGTCAATAAATTGGTATTATTTTCTTCCTTATGTGAATTCACATTTAGGGTTAACTGGGCAAGTTCTTTTACTTGAAATTTAGTTCTCTTTCCCATTGCACCTAAAACCATTTAATTCTCAAAATAGAATTAAGTAATTATAATATTTCAACTCACCGACAAGTGAATGTTCTAAACCCAATAAATTCATTGCAGTATTCAAACAGTTAGTGGCTTTCGTAATATTTCCATAATGAGAAAGATAAATTTTACATTGCTCGATCCTAAATAAAGCTTCTTCATCAGTTTCCAAAACAGTGTTTTCCATTTTTTTAAAAGCCAGTTCAAACATGTTTTTTATATCATTTGATAATTCATTTAATAATGATTGAAGAGTAGAAAGCATTCGTATTTGCCACCAAAATCGTGTCTAAAAAAAATATCAAAATAAACAATGTGGTAAAAAAATAAAATATATTATAATAATCAAATTACTGCTCGATTTTCTTACAAAAATATTGATCTGATCGTTACTAAAAACTGCATATGAAAATACTAAGAGCTCAGGATACAATACTTTTCTAGATACACAATCTAAATCATTCACTAAACTTTCTATTACTGCAGTGCTTGGACCCCAACTCTTTAAATCTCTGAAAATAACATTAAATAATATAAATATCAAAAAGTGTAATCCAAGTAGTTACAATCTGGGATATGGAGTTAATTTTGAAATGAACCTTTAATTAACTTATTTTTGTTAGTCCAGAATTCATGAAATGTATCTTCTCCAGAAGAAACTATATGTTCAGGAGAAATTGTGAAATTAAAATACCAGCATATGGAAAAAATAAATCCTCAAGAAAATAATTTATAATATATAATTATAATATTATAATATTTATAATTATATTATTAGACAGTGATTGGAAAGTAATATTTATTAAAGATTATTATATCAATATCTAATATGTGGTGAACTTTGTATGTTATTCGGACTTATTCCTAATTTTTTCAAACTATTTTTCTTTAGGGATGGCATTAGAAATTTGAGCGAGAATAGATGTTCCATGAACTTTCTTAAGTAAATATATATTAGGCTATATAAGATAAAATCAATTTGAAATATATAATTTCTTTAACGAGCATTTTGTTACTTTTTTTTTTTTTTATTTTAACTTATTTAATCTAGTATGTAATTTAATATATTACTAAAAAATGAAGAAAAGAGTGCAATCTTCTGGGGAAAGTTTCTCCTAGAGTTAAGGGATTTCTATTCTCATTCTCATTCCATACTTTGTCCAAAGAGAGAACAAATTTGATTTTGCTCATATAGGCAGAACGCTCGCTAATGGCTCATTTCCTCCTCCAGGTAACATACACACGCAGCTATTCCAACCATCGCCACCTGATTATGGCCTTTATCAATGGACCAGTCTATATGAGAATGAATGGTTAGGCTGGGTGACGTGGGGGGGGGGGAGTGCAATAAACAAATAGATTTTTGTAGATCTGCGACTTGTTATTTTGTAGGACAAAGTATAGAAATCAATTAATATCTGAATAATGTTACTATACAAAAATTTATTTTTCCACAGAACGATTTTTATAGAGAACAGATAATTATATTTTCTCATGGAAATTTATAAAGAATAGTCAAGTAGGAAGCTTATAGTCTATCCATAATAAAACATACAATTTTGATACCAAAGGTCCAGTCCAATTTGCTTGTAAGAACAACTGATAACAAGCAACGCCAAATGTAAAAATTGTATTGTTTCTGAAACAAAAATAAACCATTTAATAAACCACTGTACATTATACATGAAAAAATATATCAATTATATAGTTTTGAATTTTAGTTGCTAAATTTTAGGCAGTAATCAATTGCAATCATGTACTTTTATGATACAATGTTAAATTTGATTATTTGAATAATACTTATGAATATGGTTTATGTTGCACTTTTTAACACTGGAAACTAGAAGCTAAAATACAACACTGAATAATTTATTACTTGGTACTGATGAAAATGTAATATGTGAAATATATTATTAACTATAAGACGTTACTAATTACAACATAATATTACGTGAGTATATTACTGCTTTTCATCCATAACTACAAAACAAAATGTTAAGAATAGAGTTTATTGTAAGGAAGGGATTTAAAGGTATATTTGTTACAAATGTTAAATATAATTCACATCTAGGCGCTTATTGAACTCGGTTAATCAGTAACTACTTACAATAGTGTTAAACAGAACTACAGAGTTCAGTAGAAAATACCAGGGATTATCCTTAGTAACTTTTGTAGAAAAGGTGTATAATTTAATATCTTATCTGAATAATAAACTCTTATTCATTTTTAATGTTGGATGTGGACACTTTAAATTAGGATTAACCCCGTGATTCAAATATATTTTGGTGCTTCTAAAGAAAATATGATGCATTACAAACGTAAGAACAATATAACTAGAATATTTATAGAATTCATTACTTCACTTATTAATTTATATGCACCTACTTTAGTGGATTCAAATGTAAGAAATCACTTATATGTTTTACAATATTTGAACTGAAATTAGACTTGTTCAAATGTTCAAACTCGTTGTACAGATCCAAAAACAAATCATTCTCTAAAACTTCAACATAGTTGCCCTTAAGAACATTTTTCATTTCATTTGATGTTATATCCTCTGAAAACAAATTTAGGGTAATGAAAATCAATTAAAATGCCATGTTTTATGAAAATAATGTAGTTATGTTATAATAATATTTATAGGTACCTGAAACAATTATTTCATTATATACATTTGAATATGTATCTCCATATATCAGGCACTTTTCTGCATCCGTAAACTTTTCGACAGACATAATATTATCTTTCATAATATTAAATGTTTTAATTAAAATAAGTACCAATGTACTAAGCGTATGCCGTATAAATGTATAATAAAATATTTAAGACAATCTACAAAATGCAAGAACTTCAAAACAAAAACATGCCTAACAAAATAACACAATATTATTCTTCAGAATAAATTAACATAACCTCAAATCGAACACATATTATCAGTTATCAGTGATTATCACCAGACACCAATATTATGATAGTTACCTCCACGGTCAGCGGAATGCCACATAGCCGAAATTCACATTTCACAGTCTGACAGATCACCGCTATATAATATATTACAATTTACAACAGATATACTTTATAGCTAGCATAAACTCAACTAGCTAGGCTAAGCCCCCTCAAAACTTGTAATAGCCCCCTCAAAATGAATTATTGAATTCTTTCCTAAAATATTAACAAATCTTTAAAAATTAAACTGTATTTCTTATTTTTTTTTTTTTTGGAAAAAATTTACCTAATTATTTAATTTTTTTAATTTTAATTTAAACTTTTAGATTCTGAGTGAAACGATGAATGTATTGATTTTTTTTTTTATATTGCCTATGAAAATATAGTAAATGTCATAAGCTGTATGCTTGTATTCGTTTTAAAGAAACAATTTATGTCGGTATGATGTAAATTATTTTGTATTTGGTAAGATTATTACTCATAATTTTACAGTACACTGTACACCCACTACACCTATGCACTGAACTATAACATAGAGATAGATAATGGCAGAATAAAAATCCCCTGAAAAAATCCCCGACCCTAGGAAAAATAACCCCCAGACTACAATATTACTGACAACCACATGGCATTTTTAAAACGTAATTAGTGTAATTATTACATAATTAATATTTAATTACAAATATATTATTTTTACTTATAGGTATATTTTTTATTAAAAAAATTATATATAATAAATAATATTCAAAAATTAACAATAATATTGTTTTGTTTCATATCACGATGTGAAACAACATAGGTACACCGTCGTTTGGGGTTTCTTTGCTCCCTTCAAGTTAACTTTGTTCCAAAAAAAAAAAACTGATGATACTGTTTGACTTTGAAAATTGTGATAGTTAAATGATTGTTCGTGCGTTGATGGAAAAACTGTTAAAGCTATTTCATATCTTACCTCCATAAATTAAGGCAGTTTTCTCTGTTATAAGTGGATTATCATTTATGACACCGTTAAACGCGGGAAAATTAAGCTTCAAACCAAAATCAAACCTTTTTTTTTTGAAGCGGAGAACACGTGGATTTAGAAGGCAAGATATCACTCTTTCACGTCAGAAAATTATCTCGAAAACGATGCTGTATCAAAATTTGAGTTTAAACAGTTTTGGAATAATTTAAAAGCAAATTTCATAACTTTGAACCACTAAAAGGGATAAAACTGCTCCAGTATTTTACCATAGTATTTTGGCGGAAAGTTTCCCCATCAACCATTATTTCCATCCTAGATTAGATAATAGTTGGTTTTTCTCAATAATAGGTAATCCTGCCTAGTCTTTATTTTTCAAAGATAAAAGTGACTTCAATGTACAAGAAAAAATTTAAATTAATACATTTTTTGTCTTTTATTCTTTTTTTTGATATACTCTCGCTATGTTTGGGCAGAAAAAAATTTCAAAGTGTTATTCTTAGTTTTTAATGGTGCTGTTTCTTTTTACAACTGTTAACATTGCTCCAGTCACTAAATTATACGATTTCTGGGCCCTATCATGGAGTGGGGAAAAGTATTCAGACCCCATGGGTAACATTGCTCCACTTTTGAAAAAATAAAAAAATATTGTGTAATTATAGGATATACTCATTTTTAGGTCATAATTAACTCTTGGGAACTCTAAATAATCGAACTACATAAGCACAATATATTTTTTTTAAATATAATACGCTATGAAATACTAAAACAAAAAACAATTTAGAAAATCGAAGCAAAGTAACTATTTGTTTAATAATAGTTTATTTTATTTGATGTATCGATCATTCGAAATATTTTTATTTCATAATCTTTTAAATATTGTATCTACCTATAAAACTTGTAAAATCAACTTCTAATAAGAATAATTATTTTTTACATATTATCGTTAAAATATTATTACGAAATGTAATATTTTATTTCGGGGATATATTATAATATAAATATAATATACATAATATAATATAATAAAAAGGTATTAAGCAAAAAATATTATTGTTAATGTTTGAAAATTATAATATAATATAAAAAATAAGGTATAGTTAAATATTTGAGTAAATAAATAATTAATTTTGTTAGTATGATTTTTTATATTTTTAAGTGAACATATATATGGGGGGGGGTATCATCGCCCCCACGGGTTACTTTTCATGTAATGACAGGTGGGGGCTACAGCTCCAGCCAACATTTCAGCCCTAGTTGCGCCACTGATAGATAGAGAGCCTAGATAGTAAATAATAATATTATTTATAAAATATATTATATATTAAAATTAAGGCTTTCTAATTATATAATATATTACTTATAATTAGCTATAATATTATAGACGTGGTTATATTTGTTTTCTCTCTCCAGCCCATGCACTAAACTACAAAATAGACAAAACACATTCAAGCAAAATCAGTATTGTAAGCTCAGCTTTTTGTGAACCATTAAAATATTAACTAGAAAATACCCAATAGGTATTTTCCAGTTTTCATTAATTGCCACTACCATGAAAACTAGACATTCTTTAGCTTTTTCCAAAATATCTGTATCCATACTGATTCATTAATTTAATAATATAATTGTTGGTTTGGTAGTACCTCTATACAGTGTTTCTTAAACTTAATAAGTAATTATTCAGGATAATAAATTATAAACTAAAATATTTCCTGAATTAAATAATAACATGATTTGAATAACTCTTAGATCATTCACTTAAGTGTATACTATTCAATGAAGGGGTGGATTACTGCTGTTGTTTCTATTTTCTAATAATAAAACAATTCGGTTGCTACGTGGTTTTCAATTAGGTACCTACTCATTAAATTTGAAACAATTCTTCAGCTTCACAATCACAATAATGTAAAAATTCTGTACTTCACCAATGTAAATAAAAAATAATAATCTTCTGACTTGTTTAAAGTATTGTAAAAGGTTTGCTAACCTCAACTAGTGTATGTTCTTATAAGTCTTAAAATTATTTCTAATTATAAGATTGTGTCAACTAAAATTTACTGTTTTAAATAGAAAATATTAAAATAGTAGACACATCTTATAATTAGAAATAATTTTACCTATAACCTATAGTAATAATAATAATGCATATTAATTATCTAAATTGCATGGACACTGAAAAGTCTTTACTATTAAAGTATAAAATAGTATGGTATCGCTTGTTTTCGCTCCAACTTTTCGTTTTAACGACAGAAAGAAATTATAGTAAAGATAATCTATGATCAAGTCAAGATGTCATAGTAAGAAGCAAAAAAGTACCTACAAGAAAAAATCATAATTGGAATCAGGGAGCAGGGACTGGACCGCATACCGAATAGACCGGTCATGGACCGAAACCTTTCTTAAATCTTGGGACCGGAACCCTTAGATACATTTTTTAGGATCTAGGACAATTTAATGGCCCCGTGAAAAACGACGTATGCAGACAATATTGCCCCCCGTCATAATTTTATACATGTAAAATTTTCCCTCGTGCTTAAAAGTTAAGTAATAAATAAAAAATATTTTTTTAAACAAAACGTTCTTTAATTTAATATTTTTCAAATCAGTAGGTACTTCAAAGCCGGAGGGATGGATCTGACCTCCCACGTCACCCCTTGTATACGCCACTGGCAAGCCTGCAGAGGTTTTTACAATTTTAGTATACATTCCTTTGTATCATAATAAAATATTTTATTGTACACTGTTTCTTTAGTAGAGTCAAATCATGTTCTTTGTTTTTCCGGTACTGTGCGCAATCATATTCTACCGTTTAGGTCAATTGCAAGACGCAACAGGTCAGGCCACCAGGAACTTCCCGGTGTCCCAGTGGGCCAGACCGTCCCTATTATTACGGTTGTAGGAAAAAAAAACCAAGGGAAAAAAAACCCAAAATATAAAAACCAAAACAAAAAAAACCAAATGAAAAAAAGACTATGGAAAAAAAAACCAAATGAAAAAAAATCCATGAAATTAAAAACCAAATTTTTATATTTTGCTATCATTTTTTCTGTCATATTTTTGGTACCTATTATTATAGAAAATTTCAAATAAATATATTGTCAGTAGAATAAAATACAATATAAAAGTTATGGATACCTCATTGTATAATAGAGAACACGCATTAATAAGTTACCTAATTAATAAATTACATAAAAAATTACAAAAAAAATCTCATTATTGTCAGTAGAATAAAATATAAATAAAAAAGTTATCGATACCTTATTGTATAATAGAGAACACGCATTAATAAGTTACCTAATTAATAAATTACATAAAAAATTAACAAATAAATATCTCATCAATTGTCAGTAGATTAAAATAAATATAAATAAAAAAGTTATCGATACCTAATTATATAAGAAATTGCAGTTAAAAAGTTTTCAATGTCACGGGTACCTTTATTATTATCTTCACATAACTTTTTTAATTGGATTTGTATTTTTTTATTCACCGTGTTTTGTCGCTTCTGTTGGGGTACACCTAATTCAATTTGGGCCAGCTTAGTTTCATCAGATGCCACTTCTAACCTTATTTTATTTATAATAGTCCATATTGTTGGATGTGTTTGTCCTACTAATTTACTGAACCTGAGGTTCCAACCTTCTGTAGAATTGTTTGTTCGTTCTTCGTCATTTAAAGTCGATTCATTTACGTTCCATAAATTTGGTGGAAAAATACACAGTTATCTAGACATTATCTAGACAGTCTAAATAAGTCCGATTTTGTAACAAAAACCTATATGATATATACAATATAATGTAATGAATAAATGAACAACATAAGCTGTAGGTACCTTTTTTATCTTAATGGTATCTTTAATAATATAAAATATTATCTTTATATGGTTAAATACTTGTGCATTTTACACACACTCATATAGGTACATACACACACCCCAACAATACTTTCCTAAAACATAGTACCTATACGGCTATACAATTATTTACAGTTTATACTTATATTCTATTCTACTGACAAAATATTTATTTGTAATTTTCTGATTTATTAACTAACTCATTAATTTTTGTTCTTTATTATACAACAGACAGAATACCTAAAATATGATAGCAAAATATGAAATTTGGTTTTTATTTTCATGGTTTTTTTTCCGTGGACTTTTTTTCATTTGGTTTTTTATGTTTTGGTTTTTATTTTTTGGTTTTTTTTTCGTGGTTTTTTTTTCCTTGGTTTTTTTTTCCGCACGCCATTATTACAAAGTTAAAGTTTTTCTTAAAATAATAAAGATCAAGTGTAGTTGATCAATATTATGTGCATGGAAAAAAGTGCTGGCTTATAATACTTAAATCGTAAATATAAATAATGTATTATCCAACCCCTTAACAACAATAAACAAGGCCAATTATCATTTATTATTTAAACGAACAGTATATAATATTAATATAATATTTGTCATTTCGTCATAATACGATATTATTATTGTTGAACGTTCATTGCAAAACATAAAATATGTTTAGTATCACATCCTTTCTTGCACTCATCCTTCCGATCACTGCGATACCGTTCAACGTCGGCACAGCGCTGTACAGCATAGACGACGTGACATCCAAGACGTGGACAACAGAAGAAGTGGCAATCTTGCGCAGTCGCATTTTAATGGACAAGTTAATTCCGAAAAATTTAGTCGGCGGAAAATCATTTCTTAAGTACGTTCAGATAATTGTAAACAAGTTTGAGACAATCTCCAGCGAAAAGGCGAGAAAAGTAGCAATGGTTACGGCCTGTGATGCGATAGGTGCTTATCTTCAAGGGGTGATGCTGCCACACGTAAAGGATCGATATTATAACGGCCACGAGAGCTATGGAGTCACCAACGAGCTGTTCGCGTTGGAACGGAAGATCAAGTGAGTGATATAATAGCTATAATAAAGCTATATAGTAGGTATCTACTACCTGCGTACTTATATTATAAAGTCATAGTAGAAATGTCCTAGACTAAACCGGTTTAAAATTATCCCACATTATCCCGCACCATGTAAATTATATGGTCCAAACATCCCGGTGCATTATTTTTTCACACCGGTTTAGTCTATCGAATTTCCACATAATGCGTTTTACCGTTCCCTTTAGCGTAATAGGTACCTATCGACATTTCGTGATTGATACGATTTATTCGATAGGTAGGTGGTATGTATGTATGTCCCTTTAAAATGGCGCATACTATACTCTGTTCCACGATAGATCATGCTGCGCACCGACCAAAACTGGTTCTCCTACGCCACACCCTGTCATAGGGGAACTAGTTTCGATAGCAAGGTGACGCAGGGGGATGCGCAGAACCGGAATGATCTCTCGTGGAACAGAGTATAGGTGCCTCTCGAAGTTAAAAAGGTTGATTATTTTTATACGTATTGCCTCCCGACTATGAACTTACGACAATGCCACCCTACATTTTATAGTAAACGAAAATGATCTAGTACTAGCTATACATGCCTGCCTCCCAACGGGTATGTAATATACATATTGCATAACATGTTATAGACATTTGGTTCATATAAACGGTTCAAATAATTTATACGTATATTTATATAGGTAGGTAGGCAATAGAAATATATATTATAAATTATAATATATTTATAATTTTAATTATGCTACCAAATGTATTTTTTTTTTATTGACTGCATAATTATATTATTGTTTGTATGAATATGATGTATATATTAAGTACTAATATTATATACCTAAGAATAATATGTTTTAATTAAACACACGGCGAATTAAAAATATCTAAGAAAGTGTACTGAACAGTAATTCAATTATTAAAAAGAATTTTAGTATGAGAATAATTCTTCATGATTCATAAATTTAAAACAACGAGGTTTAATAATATAACAAAATACAAAAATATCTAGGTATATAATACCCATAAGACTAATGTTTATCATTATTATGTAATATTATATTAAATATGTGTTACCTACTGAAAACTTAATTTTTCATAGTAAATTATAACACAATGCATAATGTAGGTATAATGTATTAGTACCTATATCTACCTATATAAATATTTATCTATTTACGTAAAGATTATGAACCACTACTTAATTCTATATGATAGGTAACTATTTAGTGTGAACATTTTTTGGGAATCAATTCGTATAGGTAACCTATAGTGACATAGACGCAATTTCAACTTTTGACTTGGGGGGGTGGGGCTGAAAATGTTAAAGGCAAGCAGACAGACCATTGCAAAATAGCATATTACAATTGTATGTCCAAGGTTTTTTTTTTTTGGGGGGGGGCTACAGCTAAATCTAGAAGGGCTTAGTACCCCCAATCCCCCCCAATTTGCGCCTATGTATAGTGACGACCTACGTCTGATCGTCGGAGACACCTAGTGTGTATTAAGCATTTTATTTACGATAAAGGCAATTCGTTTATTTCGTTATAAGTCGTTACCTTTACACGTTAGTTCAGTTTTTACAAAAATAATATGTCGCTTTAACAAACTCACTTCCTTTGACACAGGTTCATTTTGGATACTGACGGACGTGGTTGGATGACGCCCGAAAACGCCGGACAGCAGAGAACGGCTGTTGAAGCAGCCTCCAAAAACGACGACGAGGACAATAATAATTCCATTTTCGAGGAGACGGAAAACGCGTGTGCAGCGCTCTTGACAAATGTCGTACCGTCGGGCGAGGAATTGATCACTGCCGTGCCGGTACCAGCTTTCGACGATGATAAGAACCCGGGGTCGCTGGCATTCCCGTTCGTGGTCGGCAAGCGGCTGTTCTCCGTGGACAGACCGTGGCTGTCGGCCGATGACCACCGTCCACTGCTCGTTCGGTATTACCGACTGGCCGTCGGCTGTACGTCGCCAGCGCCTGAACAGTTCCGGGTGGACATGCACCGTTGGCTGGACAGCGTGGTGGTACCGCTGTTGGCCGACCGCAACCGGTGGTTCCCCGTGCTGGCCGGCGCGACGCGCGTCATCCGGGCCGCGGCCAAGGTGACAAGCGTCGACGTGACCGCGGTCGGCCGTCCTAAGAGGAAGGTGACGGCGAATACGAAGACCGGGCTGACTGTGGCTAACGATGACGGCGGCGATGACAATGTCCGCCGGTCGTGCGACGACGGGACTGACGGCCAAGTGCCCAATGTAAATGTATCCTTGGCTGTCATTCTGTTGTCGCTCCTATCCACGTGGTTATCGTTCTGGGCATTCGGGTTTGAACGGCTGCAATCGCAAACTGTGACTTACAGCAGAAAACCAGATGTGGTTTTCAACTTATAAGACTGACGGGTGATGGCGAACGTGTGTTTCCGATAATGTTTCTAATTTCTCGGCATAACTTGCGCATACTCCAAATCTTCAGTTCCAACACGAACAACTTGTTGGTGACGGCTTAGCTCTCGTGGCCGTTATAATATCCATCCTTTATGTGTTGCAGCATCACCCCTTGAAGATAAGCACCAATATCGCATCACAGGCCGTAACCATTGCTATTTTCTCGTCTTTTCGCTGGAGATCGTCTGAAACTTGTTTACAATTATCTGAACTGGACTGAACGTACTTAAGTAATGATTTTCCACCGACTACATTTTTTGGAACTAACTGGTTTATTAAAATGCGACTGCACAAGATTGCCACATCTTGTGTTGTCCATGTTTTGGATGCCACGTCGTCTATGCTTTACAGCTCTGTGCTGACGTTGAACGGTCTCCAGCCAACGGCCAGTCGGTTTGCAGTATATATGATTTGCAGTCAGTTGCCGCTTTGGCCGTTATTATGAATGTACATTTGTTAAAAATCTATATTTAATAAAAAAAATTGTTATTATAGATAATATTGCAATATTATAATAAACAATACATTAATTTTAATTAATAGACCTCGTTAACATAAATAATTAATACCCATATTATATTGTACAAATCTATAATTATTACTTATGACGCATATTCAATCACAATATATAGGTTATGTCGTATGTGTAATATAAATATATATTTCATTAATAAATATAGTAATTTAATACAATATAACTGGATCATATACCTGAAAAATAACGGTTTTTTTTCACATTTCAATCTCAGATTATCACTGACTAATATTTAAATTTAACTAAGTGATTACAGCCTTCATACGTCATCTGGTCCAGATACTATATAGGATAAATGATAATATCGTATAGATAGATCCTATTAATATTATAAATGCGAAAGTCTGTGACTTTGTTACTCTTTCACGTAAAAACCACTGAATGGATTTTAATGAAACTTTACAATAATATAGTTTATACATCAGAATAACACATCATAGGCTATAAAAATCATCACCCTAGGTCCAACCAGGAGATGTGCTCAAACGGGGATTTAGAGATTTACGGTGGAAATCGTTATTTATAAATGGTTGCCATGGGTTTTAAAACTAATATAAACTATTATTGGTTGCCGTGAAATAAGTGTATTCATTCAATGCATTTAATTTTTTTGTACGCTGTGTTATGTATCACAATTACGTACATATTGAGCGTATTATACTCACATATAATTTACGTATACAGTATATTATGTAAAACAATCACGATGCCACTTGGACCAGGAGGAAATATTGGTCGACAGACTCGGCATTCACAATTAATCCAACTGTTTAGGAGGAGTTCAGTAACATACTTGGTATAACTTTGATACTTTAGAGTTAAATTATAAAGTTACGTACAAACATCACGGGGTCCACTATCTACCACAGGTAGATTGCCTACCTGATAATATAGGTACTGCTGCGAATCAGAATTTTTATTCTGGGCAACGGAAAAGTTAAGATAAATTTTGAACACCATACACTGAATATTAAATAACGAATTGAACAAAGTTTGAGTCGTATAGAGACATAGAGTTGATACATTTAACGGGTAACGAAGTGCACGGGATCAACTATAGTAGAATAATATAATAAGTATTTATTTTAATCTCTTAAACGCCGCGCGCTTGCGGATCGTGAAAACACCTAACAGCGCATCCTCTCGGTCGTTGCATGCGTACACGTTTCGGTGACACGTCCTCTTAAGGTCCCCACACACTGCAGCGGTGGCGTTAAATTCTATTGTCTTGGCTTCACCGCCGCGGTGAGCGGTGAAATGTGTCCTACAGCAATTCACCGCCACCGCCACCGCTGCAGTGTGTGGGGACCTTTAATTAGAAGAAATTTTGATTTTGAGGGGGAGGGGGGGCGTTAGCAGTAAGTTATTACGATAAAGGGGGCGCTGAACTAAAAAAGGTTAAGAACCACTGGTTTAGGTAGTTCGTAGTTGCAGGTAAGCATAATATAAAATAGTTAATTTTGTATTCATTATTGTTCTCCTTGACTCTACAGTCTACAGGTCAACTTATCGAACTTAAATAAGCGATCTTACATATAACAATTAATTATTTGAATAATAAACTATATAACGCTATTGGTTAATTCAATAATAATTTTCTTCACACACCAAATTTACTTAAGTGTAATTTATAATTTTACACTAACCATGATCAATATCTGAAAAAAGTAATAATAATTTAGTGTATAATAAATAATAATGTATAAAACATTTATCATTTTATAAAATGATGTTTTATTTTGTCCGTCCAATTTTAGAGTATGGTGCTGTTCTTTGGAATCCACTACCGCAGGCAACTCTCGACAACTTGAAATGGTACAAAGAAAATTCTTTAGTTTCGCTGGGTTTATTCTAAATATACATCATCAGCCTCACGATTACGTCCCTGTTTCCGAATTCCTCAATATTGACACCCTTTCTAATGGGAGAATTACTCTATGGTTTAAGTTTCTAAATGGATTGATATCAGGTAACATAGATTCGCCTTACCTTTTAAGCCTAATTAATTTTAGAGTACCTCAACGTATTTCTCGAAATAATGCTCCTTTCTACATTCCTTCTTGCACCTCCAATTATTTAGCGAACGAACCTATCACAAGATTAATGTCTCTTGCCAATGTTGACGCCTCCCGCCTCTATTTATGCTTATACCATACCTATGTATATCTTATTAGTTGTAAATCTGTATATATCAAACTTTGTTTTTCAAAAGGGCTAGCCCCGTAAATATAAATAAATAAATAAATAAATAAGATTTTTGCGTAACATAGGCACACGGCCGTAAAATAAAACAGTGTTTTATACATTTTTAAATTGTAGAATATATTAAACAATGTATATATAGCACAGAACAGTTTACATACTTATATTAGTCACTAAACATTATAAAAATAATGTAAAAAATTTCAGAATCTATGGAACACCACTGATATAGGCTATATAGTTTATGTGTTAAACAGTGTCATAGACCATATAGTCATTGTTATTATTATTATATTTAAATTTAAACTATTTTTTGTAAATCTATATATTAAATATTATTATTACATATGTATATTTTACACTGTAATTTAAAATTAAATTGGAATTATATTACGTTAGGTATATAAAGTTTATTATTAGGTATTCTGAATATTAATATATTATTCGTTTTAGAAAAATTGACATGCAAAGAACAATTTTGTATTGGAATATTCAAATTGTAGTGAATAATTTAGTTATTTGTTGTATTAAGGGGCCTGGAGGCGACCTGTTTTTTTGCTCTTTTTTTCTCATAAATAGTTCATACTGTAACCAAAAAATCTAAAAAATATATGAACACAGTTATTTTTTACAGACATTTTAAATTCAAATTTGGATAAATTACATATTAAAAAACCTAGAATAACTATATTAGTTATTTTGTTGTGATTGAATAATATTATTCGTGGGTACTTGAAACTTCTAGAGTGTACTATTATATATCTATGATAGTATCACGGTTTTTGTTGATGTATAACGAGTTATAAGTACCTAATGGATATTGTGATATGATTAATTTGGAATTTATTATATTTACCTATTATTGGTCAAATTTTGGTTTAGTACCATAGATATGTATATAATATGTCTTATACCTAGACTGACATACCGTCTCCGCTCAGAATCGTTTTTCTTATACAATGATATTATATCGTTGAATTCAAATTGAATATCATCAATTATACAGTGACCCACTTGTAACCTACTGTACAGCAGATCGACACCCACTTGCCCACTTTTTTTTTTTGATATCTTCTTTTATTTTTTTTGTAATTTTATATGATTTTCGATGTATAATTGGCTCAAAGTGGCCTTATGGGGGGGGGAAACACCAGACAAGACACAATAAGCAGGGGGGATCGGTACGTGATGGCGAGGTGCATAAAGCAATATGCTGGCTACTGGTCACCTCTATACGTTTTCGCGGCACATCCCGCAGGCGGACGAGTGCAGTCGCCAGTGCGTTCGCTCGCGGATGACGACCATCACGACGGCTGGCGAAGTCCCGACGGCGACGGCTACGGGAGCGATGAGGCGATTTGATGGCGAGCGGCTAGTGCTCGACGTTGTGCGCATCGACGACGCGCAGGTACTGAAGACGACCGACGAGTGGCGACAGAAACCTAAAAAACTGAGCGAGCAGAGGCAGCTGCGTCGGAGCTACGAAATCGGCCGGCGACCGGAGACGTGACCCGACCGATTGCCACCGGGCGAAAACGCAGCGAGAGGGTCGTCGGACCTCACGGCAAAGCAGCCGCAAACGTGCTGATCCTCTCCAAGCGATTTTCGCCCTGACTCGACCGAGTCACCGTCCGGTGGCCGTCCTGGAGTCGCACATCGCCGGACCCCGAAACGTTATCAGTTTCCACGAGTCCGGCGATGCTGATTTCCGTGTTCCTCTAGCGCTGCAGCTGTATCCGCTCGCCCGTTGTGTTTTGCGGTCTCCGCCGCCGTCACCTTTGCGAGTCGCCCTCGTGCACTTTGCATCGTCGCGTGGTACCGTCGGGGCGGTATCGTTGCCCGCGCCGGTACAGCTAGCCACCGCCGTCGTCGTCGCGGTCCATCTGCTCCTGGTGTGACCGGAGCATTCGGGCCCTCGCCGAGTCGTCTTGATGGTCTCGCGTGTCGGCAACCGCGAGCTCGCGGACGCGGGAGACTGCGATCTCGTCTTTCTGCGGGTGGCTGGAAAACGTATAGGCGTTGACTTACCGCCGGGCACCGTACAGTGCTCTTTCACGTACCACTCCCCCGTCGCCGCCGTCTTGTCCTGGTGTCTTCATCTGGGGGGAGGGGTTTATAGGTTTCTATGCCGCTGGCTTCACGACCTCCGGAAACAACCACAGAGCAGTACGCGCTTCGCGCCTTTCCACGTGGCGGCGCACAACCGCCT